GTATATCATCATATGTGTAACATGTCAACCTTAGGAAGTTCTATCAACCCTAGTGAGAGAACATATCCTGAAGAGATGATACAGACAGGAATTTCCACAGTAGATGTCATGAATTCAATTGCTAGAGGGCAGAAGATTCCTCTTTTCTCTGCCGCCGGTCTTCCTCATAATGAGATTGCAGCCCAGATCTGTCGTCAGGCTGGACTGGTGAAGAGGTTGGAGAAAGCTGACAACCTTCTTGAGGTTAGTAGTTTACTTTTTTACACTTACGCATAGATTAGCCAATTATTTTGATGGAGCTGTCTAAATACAGTGATAGTGGAAGTCTGATATATTGCTTGAGAGTTGAATGGCCTTTGAAGCATTGGGGTGCCACCAAGCTAAACGTTTCTGTTTAGAAATCTTACAACTATCATGGCTTGATTGACTTACATTAAGTTTTACGAGTTTAGTTCCTTATGTGTTGCTTCTCTAATCTACCAGTGAGTAACTGGACAGGCGCTTGTGTCCATGTTCATTTATGCATGTTGACTAATTGTATGCAAATTGACATAATCCTCTCTTTTCCGCTTGATACCCAGGGTGGTGAAGGGGACAATTTTGCCATAGTCTTTGCTGCTATGGGAGTCAACATGGAAACAGCACAATTTTTTAAACGTGATTTTGAGGAAAATGGATCTATGGAGAGAGTGACACTCTTCTTAAACTTGGTAATGCTTGGAAGTTTTCCATGAATCCATAGTGATCATTTTTTTGGTGAAAACAAATGCAGTTATTCATAGTGAATGTCAAGTTTGATATCCTCAGTTATGTTTTTGCAGGCTAATGATCCTACTATAGAGCGTATTATTACTCCCAGGATTGCTCTGACAACTGCAGAATACCTAGCATATGAGTGTGGAAAGCATGTTCTTGTAATTTTAACTGATATGAGTTCATATGCTGATGCTCTTCGTGAGGTATTGTTCATGAAGCATATCTTGCAATTTTTCAATTGGGCCAATTATGATTCTGTATTTAGCCGAACCCAACCTGCTTTTAAATTGAGGCGTAATAGTTGTTGGGTTGCCATCTTTTGGGACCTCTCCTTTTTGACTTCTGGCACATAAAACTATAAATCCTCCTGCAGGTATCTGCTGCCCGAGAAGAAGTGCCTGGAAGGCGTGGATATCCTGGTTATATGTATACCGATCTGGCAACAATCTATGAACGAGCTGGACGTATCGAGGGACGAACGGGCTCCATCACACAAATTCCAATTCTGACCATGCCAAATGATGGTAAACCGTAGCCAGCATCATTTTGCTATTATTTCTACTTCTGCCTTCTTCTTTTCCTAATATATATTGATGAATCTCTAATTTCTCTTATTATTTTGTACAGATATTACACATCCAACCCCGGATCTTACAGGTTATATCACCGAAGGACAAATATATATTGACCGACAGCTTCATAACCGGCAGGTACGCAATAAATCTGTCGGACTGACAACTTATGCACACTAGTAAAAGGGCATTATTTCTGAATGCTAGAGGTGAAGATTTAGAAAATGAGCGATTGATCAAACCGATATAGGAAGTATATGCCCTTTGCTTTATCAATCTTTTTATCTCTTAATCTCTTGATTTGCTATTTCTAGTTTATTCTAGATCATCTCGATTAGGTTCTGCATAACCTGAGATTTTTTACTGAACTGAATAGCTACTTAGTATTTCTGCAGAGAAAGTGATCGAGAACCTCGGCCCCTATTTTACTATTTAGCAGTACTATTTTTAAGAAATTACAATTAATTTAGTCTAAATGTTTTGCTTTTGGATAAATGGCCCATTGCTTGTTTATCAAGTTATTTCTTAAATTGACTAACCAGCAAGTCACAACAGCGGAAGGTTCTCTTTATTGAAATTAGCTATGATTAAAGCTTATGAGTGTGGATGGATTGAATATCTTTACATTTTGAATAGTGTTGGGCTTGAATAAAAACATATCAAATGGTTGTTTTTCCTTTCTGAATTTTAACAGATATACCCACCAATCAATGTGCTTCCATCCCTGTCTCGGTTGATGAAGGTGAGGTTATGGATCTGTTTAGATATGAATCTATTTAGATCTTTTTTGTAAACTGATAGAACACCAAACATGTGACTTGTTAATTCACCCTTATAACTTTGTAGAGTGCCATTGGTGAGGGTATGACTAGGAGGGATCATTCTGATGTATCCAACCAGGTAAGATCAACTTTCAGTAAAGATGTGTGTCATCACTGTTCATTAACATACATTCAGTAAGACTTGACAATTACTACTGAAGCTGCAATAAATGATGCTTGATGGTAATACTTATAAAATTTTCAGCTGTATGCAAATTATGCTATTGGCAAGGATGTCCAGGCAATGAAAGCTGTGGTTGGAGAAGAAGCATTATCTTCTGAGGACCTGGTTTGTAACTTGAGAAAAATTAGTTGAGCTTTATTTTTGGCTCTAATGAGTTCACTAATTGAATCTTTCTTGAATATATCAGCTTTACTTAGAGTTTCTTGACAAATTCGAGAGGAAGTTTGTTGCCCAAGGAGCCTACGACACCCGTAACATTTTCCAGTCGCTTGATTTAGCTTGGACACTCCTTCGGATCTTCCCTCGTGAGCTTCTTCACCGTATTCCCGCGAAGACCCTGGATCAGTACTACAGCCGCGATGCGTCTAATTGAGGGAGCCAACTTTGTACTTTTGTATCCTGTGTGATTGCCTTGGTATGAGCTTGATGATACATATCATGAGCTTTTCCTCAAATTATGAATCTCCTTCCAGCTCAACAATAAAAGCTTTCTCTAGTGAGTTCCCAGAACCAAGGCTCTCCGGCATTTGCAAGACATTTATATTCTTTTAAGAACCAGTTAAGTCATGGTGTAATTTATTGTGTTGTGTTATCTGCACATATGGCAGGGTTTGGTTTCCTTTTTAAATTCTACAACAGTAGGGTTTTCCAGGAATTACAAAACCCATGTTATGTATTGTGCTCATTTATTTGTTTTGTATGTCGACCGTGAGCTAATTCTTTTGTATCCTTTTTGAATAATGTTGCCTTTTGTGAGGTTCTTGTTTAATACTTGCAAGTGGCAGCTTAGCTTTTGGAGTTTTAAATGAATTCTTTTGGAGTTTTCTAAATGAATCCGCTCATAAGTATGGGTAATTGGAAACAAATTCAGACTTCAGAGACTATTAAAGCAAAGCTCACTTGAAATCATTACACCGAACACTTATTTGGAGATTATTCATTTTACATAGAAGGGTTATATGGAAGAAATAAGAAATAGACAGGTTGAACTTTTTATTCAAGTGGAGTAGAAATAGTGGGAAGCAAACATTTATAACTGTCCTGACGTCTGCTTAATTTTTCATTCAATTGTTGCTGCTAACCTTGTTCTAGGGAAAGAAAGGGTAAAGATGTTACAATCAATCAACGCGAGATTTTTTTTTTCCTTCACTATTTTGCAGGAAACACGTGCTAGGAAAACGACATTTGGTGGAACTGTCTTTGACACGGTATTTAGATTCGAGTTGTTCAGATCCAATATTTCTTCCGCCTAATTAGTTCATCTAAGAAACCCATTTTTGATTGATTAGTTTTTTTTTATTTTTTATAACCACAGTGTAACTAATTTTTCGGGATACATGCTACCTCTGATCAACACAGGTATCGGGTAACTTTGTCCACCAAAATTTGAACAGATGGAAAAAGATCATCTAGTATTTTTCCCTCCGTAAGGAACAAATATGATTGTTGTTTGTGTATTGTATTACTCGGTAAGCCCGAAAATTCCTCCCATGCATAACTATCTGAATAGCTAGGTCTTCGCCTTTGATAAAAACAGCTATAGTCTAAAATTTCCTAATTTATCTGGAAGCACTCCCGTGCCAAAATCATAAAGATAAAAGGAACCAATGTTAAAAGTATATAGTAATAAATATAAGTCACTAGGACATCATTTATTTATTTTTAATATTAAGACATCTGAATCTAAATACACATCTGAATATCAAGATATGTATTAAGATTAAGACATCTAAATCTGAATACACATCTGAGTATTAAGATGTGTATTAAGATCTGAATACTAAATGATTAAGATTGTTTGATTTTTAATATCTGAATGTATAAATTTTATCTTTATTTGAAAATTAATAAACATAAAATTCAAATGAAATACTAATTAATATAATATTCTATCAATAAATATATAATTTTTTTCAGAATATAGTAGTTGCCGGTGGTGATGGCTAACAGTGGTGCTTGTGAATGCCGACGCGGTGGTTGGTGGTAGGTTTGGTTGATGGTGGTGGTTCAGGGTAGTAGCTAGTGGTGATTAGTAGTGGTGGGTGGTGGTAGTTTATAATGATGAGTAGTGCCGGTTATGATTGTTGATGGTGATGGGGTGGTTAGTTGTGGTAGTTGAGGTGGATGAGTGTTTGTGATTGAGAATGATGGTGGTGGGAGTGGTGCGGATGGCGGGTGGTGGTAGTCGATTATGGTGGCAGCTATGACTGAGGATGATGGTGGGATGGTGGTTGAGTATGGTGATGGTGGTGGTGGCATGGTGGTAGTTGATAATGGTAAGCGATAGCGACAATTAATAATGAATATGGATGATAGCATCTTAATGAGATTAAGTCTCTGTTATGTATCTTAATCATACAGACTATTCAGACCCATTAAGTGATTGTGAAGTAAAAAACAAACATAGTTAATGATTAAGATTCAGACTTTAAAAACAAACGCACTTAATGTCTAAGATCTGAATGATTAAGATTCAGACCTCCATTAAATGGCAAACAAATGAGGCCAACTCTTTCTTCTTCTTTTTTTCTTTTTCCTTAAGCGGGTGGGTTGTCTTTTGGTGTGAATAGTCTTGATTTGCACCTATTTACCGAATCAAGAACTGTTTATTGAAAAATAACACTAGCAATTTGACTTGTCAGGAAAGAAAAAAAAAATCACTCGAGGAACTCCAAAGAAAGCCTCAAAACTGATGAAGGATAATACAATGCATTACACTGTTCTTCATAATTGGGTGGGTAGGCAAAACCCAAAATGTGAAATAGAAATATAACTCCATTCTCATCCAGCTTTTGAAGTTCTCTTTACAGATGGTAATACAACCGAATCCAAATTCCCTGGATAAGGAATCCACAACCCTAATCCTCCCCTACTCTCTTTCAAACCAGTTTTCTTCTTAAATTCATCCAAAGATTTTACCCACTCTACTTTGGATGAATGTTCACGGGTATGATTGTGCAAAATAAAGATGGAGTTATACTCACAATTAGGAAACATAAAAAATTTGAATAGGCCTCCTAACCTATAGACAACATACCCAAAGCTCAGCTGATCTCTCGGTGTGAAGAGGTGAACTTCATTGAACCACAAGCAACTAAACAAATTACTCAGTGCAGTATGTTCTCGTATGATGACGGCTCCTTCTGGAACATCTGCGTATACCAAAAAGTTTTCACTATAATTGAGAAGTGGATGACGAGAAAGAATTAATGTCCTGGAGAAGTTGACACTCCTCTTAGTGATTAGNACACTCCTTTTAGTGATTAGAAAATACTAGCCTTGTTACCAATTAGAACATACAACAAAGGCCTTTAACTTACCACTAGGAGTGCTTTTCTTTGGATTCCATGGTTCCATTCCCTCGTAGCGATATATCTTCATATGAAGATCAATCAGAGGACGAGCATATCGCTTTCTCCTTTTGTTTGCATCAGCCTCTTCGTACACATTGCGGTGATGCTTGTGCTGAGCAATTGCAAACGTATTCTTCTCACGCCACAAGTATCTTCAAATAGCCACCGTCTAAGTTAGACCACTCATGCTCAATCAAGATGCAGTACTTTCTAAACACAGGAGACTTTTCTTTGTTTGGTTAAAACTTTTAACTAAAGAAATTAACAAAACAGAAATTCATGTACAAGAAATAACTGCAAGCCCTGAATCTAACCATTATATTTTCGAGAAGGGAATCTACCCATCATTACTTAACCACATGCTGTTCAAGTAAATCCAGTAATCTGACAGCATTAAGAATCAATTCACAAAAGAAAACAAAGGNTTCATGCTGGTGAGGAGTGAAGCAAGAAATAAAATACAAATACTGATAACATAACTATATCATACCTTTCAAGTAATAGCAATGGGTCAACTATCAGCTCCATTTTACCATCAATCCAGATGCTGTACTGTGCTTGAGGAAATAATCTGTGGGTTAATATTTTTGGAACTTTTCCATTCCTTCTAGGCTCATCATACGGAGGATTCTTCAATAGAATCAAACGCCAGATACCAACCCATTCTCCCCCTTCGTTGTCCTCTCTAACAGTAACATTTTTCTTGATGAACTCGAGGGATACTTCATCGACAACCATAAGAAAGCAAAAGAGCTTCTGAGAACGTGCACTTATATTTGATGGCTGGTGAGGTGCATCATACCCATCAAAAATACCAGAGGCAACAACGAACCGACACTTCTTGACATATTTGATGTCTTTCTGAGCCATTTCTGCACCACCATTTCGTATAAAGCCACAGTGCACCTACAGATGAAATATAAATCAAAGCTGGAAGCATATGAAGTAGCAAACTCAAATTGTTCTCGAGAATAATAACAAGGAAACCAAATCATCAGGAGTAGGGCGTCCCGAGTATGTAACATATTTTTCATTAGTAGAGTAGTAGTCACATTCACTTGGTAGTCTTTTTCGAGCCATTTTGCTAATTTGGGGAATGGTGGACACTTAAATCAAAATACTTTATCGGTTATAATACGCGAAGACATGTCAAAAATGGAGTACATAATTAAGAATGAGGAAGGCACCAAAACTGATTTGTACTCAAAATACGGTACATATACCAAAAGCTAAAGGTAGATTTCGTTTTCAAGTCATTGTTCACTGCTCCTTCTATGAGCAACATTTGGTCTTTAACAGAGCTTTGTTTTTAAAAAGGAGAGGAAAGTGGGCCAGGTAAATGCAACAAACAGGTATAGAAACAGTGGAAGCCTCCAATTACGTTAGATAAGGCGGTATGTTTACCTTCATGTTTGGTTTTATTTTAAAGCTCTCATCTCTCTGTTTCCATGTTATATTTCCTCCAAACAAAGGGGGCGACTGAGATCCGTTGGTTGCTGTCACATCCTCCATAAAGTAAGAAAGTGATTGCACATACTTTTCCGGAGATCTCCTTTTTGGAATAACAATCTTATTTGGATCATCTGCTACAGGAATAGGACAACCTATACATTCACAAGAGATAAAACAGCAACCTTAACATTTCTCTGATACATTTAGATACAAAAGTCTGAAATGATAAATTCGAGAGACTCACGATGTGGAGGTGTCACAAGTCCCATACTCTGAATTACTTCATATATTTTACTGCTTTTGTTACAAAGGGCTGCATGTCAAGAAAGAAAGATAAATGCAGAATCCAATTTTGAAAGGTAAAAAGTATAGGCTGCTAATTAATTTCTGAAACAAAAATTGACGGTAACAAGATCATACATACTACTTCCACCATCAAAAAACGTCATGTTTCCATTAACCATAAAGTTAGAGATATTGTGAAAGCGGGTAATGTTTAGTTCACCTTAAGAATCAAGGTACTAAATATGCAAGGTTTACCAATTGGGACCAGCAATGATAAATCACATCTTTCATTCCCGCAATCCCCTCATCCAATTCAATGTAACTCAAAGCAACAGCAAAAGCAAATGCTACCATAAATATGGCAAAGGAAAAGAAAGCAAGAAATGTAAAATAGTTACCTGAAAAGAAAGCAATAGAAGACTGGCAAGACCAAGCATGAAATAACAATGCGGTTAGAATGAGCATCCCCCAAATAATTCCGGCCACAAGAACCAACCGAATGAAGCCCCTTTTCCATATAATCCTCATTGGGGAGTCGTGGTATAACTTCCCACTTGCAAGGAAGCCTTCCTTACCATCTGCATTCACAGTTAATTTTTCCTATTCAATTTCAACAGTAATGCAAGCACTACCACTACAACGCAAGACACCCTATATCATAATTATACAAATTTCCAGTTCAGTTTCAATAGAGATACAGGGAAGGGACGGAGTTAAGCTGACGAAAGGGTGTTCAACTGAATCCCTTTGCTGAAAATTACATTGTGCAAATAGAGCAATTTTTTATTTTTGTGTGTGCATATTTTTACTGTTGAATCCCCTAGATAGAAGGCAAATTCTAGTAAAGTGACTAAGGGGTTTAAAAATTGCTTTAGGTCATCGGTTCAAATCCTAGGTATGACATTCGTATTTTTTTTTTTTTTTTTTTTTTTTTTTTTTTTTTTTTGAATGCCACTGATACAGGGCACTACTACTGCAATGCTGAAATGCAAGACACTCTTTATCATAATTACACTATTTTCCAATTCAGTTTCAACAGATATACAGCCACTATTGCAGTGCAGGAGACCCCGTCATAATTATAAAACACGGAGCTTAATGTATAAATTTGACTTGTTTATTATATTGGTGATAATAGAAGCAAATACTAAATACTTGCTATGAAGTTAGATTTGTTACGGAAAATATCACATCGATCAATGGTTGCTAGTGGTCAATCAAGTGAGGGGAGAACCATGAGGTCTCAGATTAAAAAAAAAAAATACTAAGTGATGCAACAAAAAAACTACAAGATAATTTCTTCCCATCTACCCAAGCCTTTGTGGGCAGAGTTACCCAATACCTGCCCTGGTATGTGTAAGCTGGCTCAGCAGCACCGTCGTCAAAAAAAATATCACATCAATGGTTAAGAAGTCATAAAAGATTTTGAATTCTTCTAAACTGTTAAAGTTATATAGATAAATATTATTATAGTTTCAAAATTTTTGGACATTTCAAAATGGAAAGAGTAAATATAAATTGGACAGAGTATGTAATTATTAGTAAGCTACATTTGGGTTTACCTCTAGATTGAAGATGGTTACGGTCTGGTCTTCGAATAGCTCTTAAAGAAACACTGTCCATTCTCAATGCATAGTGAGGGGATCTTTCAGCTTATAAAATGGTGAACTCTACTGCTCTGAACACAAGATCCAAAAGGGGGGGATTATATTAAAAACCCCACACTCGAAAATTAAGACTAACTTGAAATGGGTTTTGAGTATTTCACCTTGCAATTTGAAAATCTGAGAAAAAAGGTAGCCTTTTTGTGTCTCCTTTTACCAGATTTTGTGCCAATATATGATCGTATTGTAGATGTTGGAATATAAAATGTGTTGGGTTTTAGGCGAAAAAGAGGTTGTTAAGGCTATCATTGAATCCCTATTTATCAAAATATTTTCTTGAATCACAGAAGCTATCGAAGAAGGAAATGAGGGAAGACGCCGACGGATCTTGCCGAAAGATAGCATAAAACGACGTCGGTCGCTGTTCAGAAATTATTTTCTCATGGAAATCATACAATTTATTTTCTTCACTTACTCTTTTTTATTTCATGTGCTTCACTTTATTCAACAAATAATAAATAATTTCAATGTTTCAAGTCTCTTTTGACATTTGTGTCGTTAAAATGGAATATTAGTAAGCGTTTTGACCTTGTATTTTAAATATTAAGACTAAATTTTAGTTTTAAAATATTAAAAAATTTATTTTGCGACTTAAAAATAACAATCAATCAAGCTAACATTCAAAAAGACAAAATATTAACTTTTTAAAGATAGAATGAAGTACATTGACGCATCTATAAAAAAAAAATTGGAACATACTTGTACCCTTTTTATTTTTCCAAAAATATGTGTGATATAACATGCTATTATAATTTTATTAGTATCCTCACTTCAAATGATCAAATCTTGCATCTTCCAATGTAAATAAAATTGAAATGATGCATGGGTATTAATAATTCCATTAATGATTTCTTTGAGATAATTCACACACTAAGGCAAATTAGTAATATCAATCTCAAGCTCTTCCATAACATTTCTTTTTTTTCCTTGAAAAAAGTATAAAGCAGATTAGTAACACGTGCTTATATTCTCTCTAACACAGTCACTAAGAAGTGCCAATAAGCATATGAAGCAAATGCTTTTCGACAATTTTTTTTTTTTTTTTGGTCTTTTGATGTGCGCACCAAGATATAATGTCTATCAACAACGTTAAACAATGACATGAAAATTCATCGTCACAAAATATACTAATTAACAAGGCAAATCATCATTAGTGTATTTTTAACTTACATGCTCATAATACACCACAATAATATGTTGCAAAAAAAATGTTTCATTTGCATCACAATTTTTTTTTTAATATTAAGTCTTCGCAGACGAAATTTACCGACGGATTTCGTCAATTTTCTTGACAAAATTCAAAAACAAAACTGTGTCTATTTTTCGATGTGCTCGATCAGTTTCATTAATGGAAAAATGCACCAACAACGTCAAGTGCCATGTTCAGGAGGGTGATTAAGANTATATATATATATAAAACTAAAAAAGAGAAAAGAAAAAAATAACAAAGATAAAGAATAAAGAGCTGACAACCAAAAAAAAGATAGTAATATTATAGAGTCTGTATAACACCATGTAACGACCCGAACGGTCGTTTTGATCATTTGCACTTTACTCGGTGGTTTGAGGGCATGAGTAGCTCCGTATGATGTAGTATGACTTGTGTGTATCATTGGTTTCAGTTTTTGGGTGATTCGAAATTAGTTTGGAAGAAAGATTCTCAACTAGGAAGCTTTAAGTTGGAAGAGTTGACCAAGTTTGACTTTTGAGTATTTGACATCGGATCAGAGTTTTGATGGTTCCGTTAGGTCCGAATGGTGATTTTGGACTTGTGCGTATGCCCGAATTTGCATTTAGATATTTCTATAAGGTTTCGGCACTCATTGGCGAAAGTTGAAAATTTGAAGGTTTGGAATGTTCATAAGTTTGACCGAGAGTTGACTTCGATGTATCGGGTTCAAATTATTGTTCCGGGAGTTGGAATGTGTTCGATATGTCATTTGGAACTTGTATGCAAAATTTGGGTTCATCCCGGATTGGTTAGGCTTGAATCGGACGCTTGGTTCGAAGTTTGAAGTTTATGAACTTAAGAGATTGATCTTGATCTACGATTCGTGATTTTGATGTTGTTATGTATGATTTGAGGCTGCGAGTAGGTCTGTGTTATGTTATGGGACTTGTTGGTATGTTCGGACGGAGTTCCGAGGAGCTCGGGTGAGTTTCAGGGTGGTTTCAGACCATTTCTAGGCCATTTTTAGTTGCTGATTTTTGACTACAGGGGTGTACATTGTGATAGCGTGGATTTGGTCGCGATAGCAAAAAGAGAAAAATAGGAAAAATGGAGTTGTGAATAGCGATCGCGGAAGCCTTCTCACGATCGCATAGAAGAAAATCTCTGCTGCACTGGCTCGACTTTGGAAGCTTATAACTTGCAATCTATAAGAAATTTGAGGATGATCCAGAAATGAAAGTTGTATCTCTTTGTGTCTAGTTTTCAGAAGATCAAACTGTTTGTCATTTGAAATTTTGTACAAAAAGTTATGGCTAATATACTATAGGCTATCTGAGTAGAGTTGGAAAGGTTAAATGGAAGTTTGTTCTACGCGATCGCGGGGAAATGATCACGATCGCATAGGGTAAAAATTGTCCTGCAAAAATTTGTAATCGCGATCACGAAGGGTACCCCTGGAACAGTGTATAAAGTACTCTATTTCGAAGGTTTCAGACATTTTTGCATATTTGGAGCTATAGAGCTCGGATTGAGACGATTTTTGAAGCGATTTTTACCATATGGATTAGGTTTCGAGCCGTCCGGAGGTCGATAAGTGCGGGATAATATTTTTGGAGCATCGTTTGGCTTACTCGGTATTGAATTTGGTTTGTTCGAGGTAAGTAACACTTCTAAACTTGATGCTGAGGGTATGAACCCTGAATATACGTGTTATGTGTTTGGTGTTGAGGTGATGCACATGCTAGGTAACGGGTGTGTGGGCGTGCACCATATGAATTGTGACTCCGTTATTTTTGTGGTACTGTGTAGTTACCTGATCTTATCTGTAACCTTGACATCTCTACGTACTAGAGTCATTGAGCTGTGATCCATGTTAGAAACCATGTCTAGGCTACATGCTTATTCTGTTGGGACCCACTGAGGTCATTTCTGCTGTTGAGTTATTTGCTTATATTGCAATTATATACTCAGTCGTACGCATTCATATGCATATCATATCTCAGTCTCTGTTATCATTTATTGTTACATCACATCATTATTTTTGGGCTGATTTTCATGACATTGTGAGCCCGAGAGACTGGAGAGATTGATGACTGAGCGAGGCCGAGGGCTTGATTGTGAGGATATTGATGGGATCGAGTTGCACTCCATAGCAAGTATTATTGATTTATGATGGGAGCGGGCTGCACACCACATCAGATGTTATTGATTTATGCCATGATTGGCTTATTATAGTGCTTGGGATGAAGGAGTCCCTCCGGAGTCTGTACACCCCCCATTGAGCGCATGTACCTATTGAGTGTGAGTGCTGAGTGACTGGGAGGATTGGGTGCCTGTGAGGACTGAGTGACTGTAAGGATATGAGTAATTGGGAGGACTGAGTGCATTGATTCATCGGGAGTATGCATATGGTTTCATCACTGCATTATATTACAATTGGCATGCATACATTGACATGTAGGCGTAGAGATGTACTTCCTCATGCCATTTGATAATGAAACATCTTACCTGTTGTTGGAAGTTTTAGGAAAAAATCACAGTTTTCAAACTTACTCATATTTTTTGTGTTTTCGGTGAAAGATTTGGGATTTACTGTTATACTTGAAAAGCAGGCCTATTTTCAGTAACTATGAACGAGCTGGGCATCATATCTCTAAGTTATTTCTTGTACCATATTATTTATATTGTTATGAACTGTTGCTGGTTATTAGAGTTGGACTCTGACCCTTATCCCAACTCGTCACTACCTTCAACCTAAGGTTATGTTTGTTACTTATTGAGTACATGAGGTCGGTTGTACTCATACTACACTTCTCCACCTTGCGTGCAGATTTGGATGCTGACGTTGTTGTGTATGACTGGAGCTAGCATTGAAGGCGTACCTGCGTTCCGGTTATAACTGCCCCTTGTTCATGGTAGCTCTAGATTTATGAAAAATCTGTTTATGTATTGTTACGACCCAAAATCCAACTAGCCGTGATGGCACCTAACCTCACCCTCTAGGTAAGCCAAATAACAATAATCCGATTCAATTAATATTTAAATGACTCTACTACACTCCCCAAGGACTAGTAGTATAAATCATGAGTTTCTAAGAATAGAGTTTACAAAGCTGGTATGAAGTAAATACATCATTTGTTTGAAAAGTACATAAACAGAATTTTGTGAATCTAAGGCTACCATGAAGTGTAGTATGAGTACAACCAACCCCATGTACTCAATAAGTAACAAACCTAACCTTAGGTTGAAAGTAGTGACGAGCTTGTACCAAGGTCGGGTCCCAACTTCAATAACCAACAATAGTTCATAACAACTTAAACAAGTAATACCAGAAGTAACTCAACAATCGAATGCTCAGCAAAAACATGATTTCTGAAAATAGTTCTGTCTTTCAAGTACATCAATGAAAACCCAAATCGTTTACCGAAGTTGCCAAAAATATGAATAAGTTTGAAAACTTATAAAAATGTTCCCAAAATCCTTTCAATAATAAATAAAATGTTTCATTTTTTTCTTTCCAGATAACCAGTATAAAACAAATGCATCACTATGCCCATCTGCCAACATGTGTGAGAAATCATGAATGATGTAATATCGTACAACATGAGGAGAAATACATCTCTATGCATGTATGTCATGTGTGTATATCAATACAATGTATATCAGAGATGTACTCACACTCTTAGAGTACTCAATCTCACTGTCTCGCATTCTCTCTCACTATGCTCAGCACACTCAATCATTTAGCGCTGTACAATACCCGCTGCGACGTGCAGCCCGATCCCTGTTTATAGTCTACTGCGCTCACTGGGGGTGTGGAGACTCCGGAAGGGCTCCTAAAGCCCAAGCGCTATAATCCGCACGGATAACTCACGTGCTGCACGAATAACTCACGTGCCATAATATCAATATCTGGATCCGCACGGACAACTCACGTGTTGTAGTATCAATATCTGGAACCATGCGGATAACTCACGTGCTATAATAAGCCAATCTGGCCTACTGCGGCGTGCAACCCGATCCCATAATAATAAAGTATATAAAGTCAATATGGCCTGCTGCGGCGTGCAGCCCGATCTCATAATTATCCTCACAATCAAGCCCTCGGCCTCACTCAGTCATCAATCTCTCCAGTCTCTTTCTCATGGGCTCACAATGTCATGAAAATAGCCTGAAAATGA